ATAATTCAACATGGAGCCCCAATCATTTTGTTCCACTTATGTCACGACTGATTCAACATGAGCATGACAATAATAATCAATTAGCGTCAGTTCTTGCGGTAAGTTTTTTATTTATGAACTAGAATTCACAAATCTTAAGATTTATTTAGACTCCTGAAAAGAAAACATTTAAGAACAATGCTGCTATCCAGATACGAATTCCTGAGTTTCAATCATCTTCTAGCAGACGTTTACGAAGTGAAAGTAACATAGACACTGATTCTTCTCAATCGAGCATGTCTGATACAATGTTGTACGATCAGAATGACAAAGAAGAACAACGTCAAATTCGTCTTGAAAAGAAAAGAGAACGAGTTCGATCAAGTCGACTGAACGCAACCGAAGAAGAGCGCCAAAATCGACTGAGGGGAGAAAGGCACCGCAGTCAAACTAGTCGAAAGAATGCAACAGAAGAACACCGTCTTAATCGACTCGAACAGCAGAGAAAACGAAGTCAAGCAAACAGAGAAAAAAAGAAAAATGAAAAACGCATGTCCGATAATATTAGTGTTCAGCAACAAACTACTCAGATGCAATCTGCTGGATCGGAAGAAGTCACATTACAAGATGGTATTAATATATCTCATTCTACATCAAATGCAAATATCTTACCGAAAATTAGAAATGCGACTTCTTCTTGGCCTGAACCAATTTCTCGTGATTTGAAAGAAGGATGTCTCAAAAAATTTCTCCATCAAATGTCCATGTCAGCACTAGCCGAAACTACGTGTGCAGTTTGTAACATTCGAAGTCCCATGCAAAAGTCGAAATCAGTACCTGTCTCAAAAATTACTAGCAATGAATTACTCAAAGTTTCAGACGAAACTAAAGCTCTGATCATGGGCTCCCACTTATCGAATTTACAGTACATAAATGAAGACACCGTAACTACTATTAAAGCTGATGGTATACAAACGACTGATCATGCTCAAAGTAATATACATTTATTTGTAATTGAATATTTCTTCAATAACCTTTTATTATTTCAGCTTCCACGTCACCATCTTTTTATTGTGAAAATAATATTATTTTATATACTAGTGGCTTATTTCAACAGAACAAGAAGAATATGTGCACACTCTGTCAAAACTGCCATGATGTTTTATCGAAAAAACACATTCCTAAATTTTCTGTTGCCAATGGTATGTGGTTTGGTGACATACCTGCTGTACTACAAGGCTTAACAATTCCAGAAGAAAAGCTAATATCACTTTATCGTCACAATAGCTATATAATAAAACTTCAATCACCTTTTCATTCAGCTACAACTTCACAAACAGCTTTAAAAGGCAACTGTATTACTTTTCTGCAAAATGTACCGGACATTGTCAGCAGTCTACCACTTAAACTCAAAGATTTATGTAATACGATAAAAGTCATTTTTGTTGGCTCTCTTCCTCCTCAACGTATTCATCTTAGAAAAATTTTAACAATGCAAGGGGGTAACAGCGGACTTCAAGACTTCAAGACTTCAAAGACTTCAACAAGGGAGACTTCAATTTTTCAAAAGACTTCGAAAGACTTTCAAAGATTTCAGAAGACTTCGATAGACTTTAAAAGATTTCAAAGAATTCGGAAGACTTCGATAGACTTCAACAGACTACAAGAGACTTTAAGAGACTTTAAGAGACTTCAATGGACTTCATAGACTTCAAAAGACTTCGCAGATTTTAGAAGACTTTATAAACTTCAAAAGATTTCAAAAGACTTCACAGGCTTCAAAGACTTCAAGTGATTTCTAAACACTTCACGAGAGTTCATGAGACTTCATAAGACTTTACGAGACTTCATAAGACTTCGCAAGACTTCGCAAGACTTCATAACACTTCATAAGACTTCATTAGACTTCATAACACTTCATAAGACTTCATTAAACTTCAGGCGTGAAGTCTCTGTTGTTTCCCCCTCGATTGTAACAGAATAATATCTGTGAAAATATGACATTTTCTTTAATTTTCTCGTGAAATATATGCATCCCTGACAATTCTAGAAGACATCATGAGACTTCACGAGACTTCATGAGACTTCATGAGACTTCGCAAGACTTCATCAGACTTCGTGAGATTTCTTAAGACTTCATGAAATTTCAAAGACTTCTAGAGACTTCATATGACTTCAAGACTGTCTCCAGAGTTCAACAGACTTCGTGAAACTTCACAAGACTTCAAGAGACTTCAAGACTTCATGCATGAAGTCTCTGTTGTATACCCCTTGTAACAATGCGAAAGAAAAAAATTATTCAGGCTTTGCAATGGTTGAAGAAATATAATATTCTCTATC